CTCATACATAAAAATACACTATAGATTTAAAATTCATCATGATTGCCTCCCAGCCCATATATTCCAAAGCCCTTTTTTGAGTGTAACAACACTTCAGTGGGAGACATAAACAACACATTCTTCGAATGTACCACAGGGGCTCAATAAAAGAGTTACTATCCAAATTTTGTAAACTAAACATTCGGTTAATACATCATGTTTAATTGCATCCTTCAACACATCAGAGTGAATCAATCGTTTGATTGAATTTCTCAGGAAAACAAAAATAAATATTTTTATTTATTTTATTTAAAAATTTTTCTTATATTCTAAATAATTTACTTATTAAATCTATCTGGTATGTCAAAGGGTTTGTGTCTCGTACGTCTTCTCACTTCCCAGCTGTGGTCCAGTAGGTTTACTGCACTAGAATTCGGGTGCACTTCTTACCGCTTTACTCACGCATAACACTCACTGAAATATCACGATGCATGAATTCATTAAGGATGTAGTATGCTGCATTAACAATCTGCCTAAGGACCTTCGATTGGAACCTCTGCAGGATTTCATTATTGGATTCCCTTGCACACCACTACAGTTGAATGCTATAGCTCCAGATGAATTTTAGAATTAATTTATAGACTAGAATTTATTTTCTAGTGATAGTTAAGGTCTTCTTCCAAATAGTTAGCAAAGCTGTCTTAAATTTAATCCAAGTTGTTTTTGTTTATTGAAGATGTAGTTTCTCCAAGTAGGTCGTCAATCAAGATGAATGCCGAGATATTTTGCACTTAAATTGCATTATTTTTAAATTGTACAAGTGGTCAATTTGTGGATTCAAGTGAATTGTTCATTTTCTTAACCACATCTAAATGGTGTTTAAGTAGACTTGTAACCTTCTGGATGCTTCCATGCAATTTGTGAGAGACCAGAGGATAACGGCATCATCAGCAAATATTGCTAAGAAACGCTAATCAGAAGTGGGTAGGTCGGCCGTGTACAATGGGTATAAAAGTGGACCAGGCACATTACCTTAAGGTAAGTCTGAGTTTATAGGTCTGCATGCTGGTATTACCGTACCGTATTTTATCTGGAAATATCTCTCTATGTAGAATTTGAATATCCTATAGTATTCAGATGGTAGTTATTGTTTAATTTTATACACGAAATCTGTATGCCACATTTTATCAAACGCTTGTGTGGTGTCCAAGAAGGCTGCAGAACAGTACCGTTTTTCATCAAAACTGTGTAGTTTGTGGCTTCTAATGGTAATAACTTTTTCAGGTATTTAACAGTTGATGTATTTCTTAGTTATCTTTTTTAGGAGCATTTTTTTAGGTCTTTTGCTGCTTTGTTAAATGACGCTTTATTGGTCGGTGTTAGATTGTTTTGCCATGTCTCCCCAAGTTTTTTCTTTTCTCCAATTATTTATGCAAATAGTCTTACAGTCCTAGTTAGGTTTTTTATTGAGACGATCCACAGTAGTATCTAGATCTATTTCTGTCTTTAGACATAAGCTTATGTTTAAGTTATTATGAATAATTCCTTTAAATAAAGTATAATTGGTTTTTAATAATTAGATTATATTTATTATATTAAGTAGAAACATTATTTAGCTGTTAGGTGATTATCTACTATACCCTCATTTCTACTATTACCTCATATATGTAGGTTCACCTATAGAGTGACTTTTGAGGTTATTAAGATTAGTTGCCTGAAGTAGTTCTCTGCCACGTGGATTCATCAATCTAGAACCCCAAAATAGGATGTTTCGCATCGTAATCACCACCAGTTAGGAACCTTGATCCAAGTGATTTAAAAATTCAGAGAATTGACTTGTTTTTATTGTGTGCTTGGAAGGATAGTATTTTGATGATACAGTGATTGGCCTACTCCAGTCTTCAATTCCTATGTTGGTTGCCTGTAGTTCGTAATGCTTTATGTTGCTTTTATTATAGCAGATAATCATAGCAGAAACTCCGGGTGCAGTATCATCAGGATGATTTGTGGTATATAATTTATAGTTTGCCATTTTCCAGTAATTTTTACCTGAAAAGTGCATTATATCAATTTTATTTGCAATTAAAAGGTTTTTAATTCTGGCCTGTATTGAGCCATATTATCGTCAGTTATTCCATATTCTCAGTTTAAGCATAATAGCCATTAATGTAATTCTGGATTCGAATGCCGCCAGGTGGCTTGATAAATCGTCTAATTTATCTACTAATCTAGTAATAATGTTTTCTAGTTTATTTATAATTGTGTAAATATCAGTTTAAATATTTGGCTGAATCTACGTAGTTTGGATATGCAAATTTTGTGTTGTGGGTTTTTGACATGCTGGTATTCTCTGAGTTACCTGCGTGTATCTTAAATTTGGTTGTCGTTTATTGATGTTGACTGTCTTGTAGACGTTGAACCCCATGTAATTTGCGGAATGACTTACTTTACATAGTATGCAAGTTACTGGGATTTGTCTATTTTTCATACAATCTTTAGAAAGATGACCTTTGCCGTATCTGCCACATCAAGGAAGTCTGTTACAATAAGATTTTGTGTGACCATAAAGTTGAAATCTCATACATTGTGGTAGGTTACGTAGTTTCTGTAAGAAATTTATCAAATTTCTTACAGAAATTTCTGCAAATTTCAAAGAAATCGCTGGTATAAAGTGTCCTCACTCGACACTGAGGAGAAGGCAGATTGAGACCTCAGTGCCGAGAGACAGTTTTTGTATTTATAATACAGAACACGATACTGGTACGTTTCGAGTGAGGGGAGTAGGCAGATTGAGACTCCGAACTCGAACCGAACCGTATCCCTCTTGATAATGGCTCCAAAATGGGAGCCGAAACGTCGAGCATTAAATTCTCAACGCGGTTCTTCCCGAGAACCTAGTGATTTTCATATATATATATATATATATATATATATATATATATATATATATATATATATATATATATATATATATATATATAACACTGTTTTTGATGGGTTGGAGTCAATAAAAGGGGCTATTTGTTGACTATTTTTTACTCGAGCTTTCAATTGTGATTACAATTTTTATCAAGAGCTTCTAAAAAATACAAAATGTCTTACAAAGTTGAACTAGAAATAAAAAATTTTTTGTTAACTCACCAAATAAAATTAGTTTTTTATATAAAACTACTGCTTACATAATAAATACAAAAAATATTAATAAAAAAATGCCTTATTCTAACAAATGTTTCTCTGAAAAATTTAGATGAATTTTCTTAAGAAAAAAAAATTGAAATTATAAACAAATATAGAATAGCTACAACCAGCCTAAAACGTCATAAATACTAACTTAAAAATTTTTATTTTTGACATATTGTCAAAAATAAAATTTTGTTTAAAAAATTCTTCTTTGTTTAGTAACAAAAAAGAAGAAGAATTTATTCACCATTGATAGATGCCCGGAAAAATGTAACAAATACATGGAAAATTCAAAATGTGATATTTTACTGACTGCATAAATTAAATAGAAATTATATAATTATAAATTTTGCTTAAATTTTGAATTTCTGACCTTTTGTTTAAATTATTATCACTTTTGCTAATACAAACCATTTCCAAAAAAGTTCTTTTAAATTTATTACTTTCATTACATAAAATTTTAATATTATCAAAATCCATAATATGGTCTTTGTCTATTACATGCTCTGCCAAAGCACAAGATGGTTTCTTAATTCTACAATCACTCTTGTGAGAAATAATGCGATTAGAGAGATTTCTTCCAGTCTCACCAATATACTCAGCTTCACACTGAGTACATAAATCCTATAGACAAATTAGATCAAACAAATGTAGTTTACAGCATTGTTTGTACTCAGTGTGAAGCTGAGTATATTGGTGAGACTGGAAGAAATCTCTCTAATCGCATTATTTCTCACAAGAGTGATTGTAGAATTAAGAAACCATCTTGTGCTTTGGCAGAGCATGTAATAGACAAAGACCATATTATGGATTTTGATAATATTAAAATTTTATGTAATGAAAGTAATAAATTTAAAAGAACTTTTTTGGAAATGGTTTGTATTAGCAAAAGTGATAATAATTTAAACAAAAGGTCAGAAATTCAAAATTTAAGCAAAATTTATAATTATATAATTTCTATTTAATTTATGCAGTCAGTAAAATATCACATTTTGAATTTTCCATGTATTTGTTACATTTTTCCGGGCATCTATCAATGGTGAATAAATTTTCTTCTTTTTTGTTACTAAACAAAGAAGAATTTTTTAAACAAAATTTTATTTTTGACAATATGTCAAAAATAAAAATTTTTAAGTTAGTATTTATGACGTTTTAGGCTGGTTGTAGCTATTCTATATTTGTTTATAATTTCAATTTTTTTTTCTTAAGAAAATTCATCTAAATTTTTCAGAGAAACATTTGTTAGAATAAGACATTTTTTTATTAATATTTTTTGTATTTATTATGTAAGCAGTAGTTTTATATAAAAAACTAATTTTATTTGGTGAGTTAACAAAAAAATTTTTTTATTTCTAGTTCAACTTTGTAAGACATTTTGTATTTTTTAGAAGCTCTTGATAAAAATTGTAATCACAATTGAAAGCTCGAGTAAAAAATAGTCAACAAATAGCCCCTTTTATTGACTCCAACCCATCAAAAACAGTGTTATATTTTTTCCAAACGAGTCACAAGTACTTCTTTTTTCTTACTCTTATATATATATATATATATATATATATATATATATATATATATACTACTTTTCAATTGGTGGTTATCCTTGCTGAGACTATCCACGTTGGAGTAATGGCTTTATTCTTAAAAGTGTTCTTAGATCTTTACTACTGAAGTTAGGTTAATGAAGTTCTTCACTTAGATGAAGTTACTCAATTTCTCGTTATGGTTATCTTAATTAATTAATTCCCAAATAAATTAGCAGTCCTTAATATTATTTAGTAGTATTACTATGTTATTTGTTTCCGTCTTAAGTAATTCTAACTGATATATTTTTGTTATTATAGGGGTTGGCAAAATTGATATAAAAGATCTTAAGGTAGCTATACGAGCACTTGGTTTTGAACCAGGAAAAGAAGAAATAAGGAAGATGGTAGCTGATATTGACAAAGCAGGGACTGGAAAGATATCATTTGATGACTTTTTATACCTCTTAGCTACGAAAATGTTCGAAAATGATACAAGAGAAGATATGATCAAAGCTTTTAAGTAAATGTTATTTTTTGTTACTCTTATTTCCGCTAATATTTAATTTGGAATCCCACTTTTTACTCTAATTATACTAATCTTTATGATAATTAAAGGAGTGCATAATTTTATACTTACTTTACTTCCTTTTTTTTAAATAATACTCCAATAGCATAATTACTGACAGTGAGACCAAGCAAGGTTAGAATTTGAGAAAACCTGTTAATTCCATCTTCGATTAGAATATAATAAAATTTCGATATAAACAAAATTTAGCTGGTTAAAAAGCAATTCGGGCTATAGGTAAGCCAAATTTCTAGCCTAAGGTAATCCAAGGAGTTTAAACCCATCCCATTTATACCAGAAACAGAGTTCTTCCATTTAGAACATTCATTAAAGAAATATATTACATTAACTTTTTTGATTGTCAATATTGGTGTAAATTTAATATGTCTACTGAATCCCAGTGTTGCGATTTGCGTTAGTCACCATCTTGAATTTAAAGGAGAACCGTTTTTGCCATTTGAATGAGTTTGAAACTCTGAATGACTTGGAGCAAGCAGTTCGTGACTGTATGCCTGATCGAATAAGAGCCGTAATTAGGGCTCGTGGAGGTAATACACTCTACTAAAATATCATTTTCCATAAAAAATGTTGCTATTTAAAAAATTAATTTTTGTTTCTTTAAAATTTTTAAATTTTTTAAATTGTTCATGGTTTTTTCTGTGTAACATTCTTGAGTTATAATAAATTTGACTTTTAAATTTTGTTTATTATTAAATACTCAATTGGAAACATCTTAAACTTTTTTAAACACCAGTTTTAAGGGAAAAACTGAGTGTCCAGTTAATTTTGCACCCTAGTGTATTATTCTCTCCATTTTTGTTTAAGTACATTCATGTCGTAAAGTTAAGAATAAAAGAGATAATTCCCTATTCCACTATTTTCCCCTTCACTTAGAAAATTTTGACCGCACGAAAAATTTGCCAAAAAGAAATTGTAGGAAATTACATTTGCAACAATTTTAATTTTTACCATTATTGTTGAAAAGTTGCAAATAGCCGAGATGTTAAGCAAACATGGTTCTCCTTAAATTCAAGATGGCGGCTAACCCAACGGTGGGATTCAGTAGCGATTTTAAATTTACACTGGGAATAATATTGACCTTCCCTAAAGGTTAAAACAATAACTTTTGGGGTAGCTCGCCATGCGAGGTTAAATGACATGCCGACTGGACTATGACAGACCCAAAAAAGGGACTGACGCTTCAGTCCCTTTTTATTTATGTGCACAATCAAATTACAAAGCTTACCATAAAGTAAGATAGACACTTAAGTTACTCCTGGGTGTTCCAGGAGTAACTTAAGTGACTATTCAAATAAAGGACTATTTATTATATTAATTTTTTTTGCTTACCACTGTTTTTTCTTTTCTTTTTTGATTTCCAAAATGTTCTTTTTTTGATAATTTTTCAGGTTGTTCGATGAAAACGGTAAAGGCTTTATAACAGTTGATGATTTGAAAAAAGTAGTAATGGAACTCGATGAAAACTTAACAGACGAAGAAATACTCGAAATGATTGATGAAGCTGATAGAGATGGCGATGGGGAGGTAAACCTAGACGACTTTTTAAGAATGATGAAAAAAGAAATACTAGAAATATAAGTATTCTTATAAACATTATATTTTTGAAATCTTGTACTTTGTGTGGTATAAAACATATTTTTCATTCAAATTTTTTTGTTTATGGTTTTTTACAAAACCGACCCTGAGATGGAAGGTGAAGTGTTTTGTATTTGTTCCATTGTTGAAAAATGAATTAATTTACATAACAAATATCTGTAGTTTAAGCAGATCAATAGGATAACAAAAATACCAAATAATATACAATGGAATATATAGATAGATATATTAAAAGTGATTATTTTGACCAAAAACAATTTATAAATATATAGGAATTATCAGGTATGTGCTCTATAATAAAACTCTTTATTTTTTCTAAAAACTCAATATTTCGCCATTTATTTAATGGTTACCTGATGAATACAATATGAAAAACAATTTTAACATTACAAACAACTGACGTACAAATTGATCTAAAACACAGAAATTAAAAGATTTCACAAATAAAAACTGACATTAAAATCCACAAGGAATCTACGTTCCTGTAGTTGGCTGTATACCATGTATTAAAAATTTAATTAAAAATCCTTTGTAAAAGGTATATTTTAGGCCCAAACGGGCTAAGTTAAAAAGACAAAACGTTTTCGGAAACCATGTTCCATCATCAGTGTCCTAGAAAATAGTTAACCACTTAATTAAAAAGAACATAGGTTAAAATTTTGACTAAGGTTAAAGAACAATGTGGTTAATACTTACTAGGGGTACATGAATGAAGCCACCAAGATTAAATATGTGGGTAAAAACCCGATTACATATGTTTAATTACATTTAGTTTTAAATTAATGTTGAAATGATATAAGATTACAGAGTTACCGATGGATTTGGTAACATGGCGACATATGACTCCACGTTGAAGTTGCTAGTCCTGAGACGGTATGTCTTCGAGGACTATATGAGTGCAACTGATTGGCAATGACATTTGATGACAATATTGTTAAGTTATGACGGAAATAATCACAGAGCAGTCAATGTAGCTGTATGTTTCTACTTAAGACAAAAGCCAACGTTATTTAAAATTGTGAAAATTAAGTACATTAATATAACAGTATCAACCATCAAAGTTGTAGTTTTTAATTTATGAAATTGAGATGATATAAGGGGGCAAAATTTTTATTGTTGTAGTTAGGCAACCAACTATGCATGTATGTAGTAATGAAATATAGAAAAATTTTTAATTATATGGCCCTTTATGTTACTTAAACATTTGGTACCCAGAAAATATAAACTAGACACATGTTGAAGGTTGAATTATAGAAAATATTGATGTTAATGGTTGGATCTAAATATATTTATTTATAATTGGAGGTGTTCTTGTTTGAATAAAATAAAACTGTTTTAGTGAATGTTCACATGTTATTTAACTTTCAACTTGTTCTTTAACCTTAGTCAAAATTTTAACCTATGTTCTTTTTAATTAAGTGGTTAACTATTTTCTAGGACACTGATGATGGAACATGGTTTCCGAAAACGTTTTGTCTTTTTAACTTAGCCCGTTTGGGCCTAAAATATACCTTTTACAAAGGATTTTTAATTAAATTTGACATTAAAATATTGCATATTACGATTTAATGAAGGTCTTAAGCACGTTTGTTACAGTAATAAGATAAAACAAGTAAAAATTACTCCAAATGCAAAATATAACAATAGAAGAAACATTAGAATAATGATATTTCTTTGATTAATCATTAAGGTTATTTGTTATTAAGGTGTTAGCTTTTTGAATATTTATAAATTTTACAATTACAATATATGTTACTTAACTGTCCAATGTCTGTCTTATAATTTAAATGCCTTCTGTTATCATACTGACGACCCACTACAATTTGGTCTATTTTGTGGCATTCTATTATCAGAATTCCTTCTGTTATCATACAGACCTTCTGACATGTGTAGTAATGAATGGTGCTGTCCATCACATTCTGCACATCTATGAGAGGAATAACATGGTACTTCCCTTTTGTGTAGTAGACATCTACCGCACCATTGCTTTTCCTTTACGATTGTGTTTCTTTCACGTACTTGTTGACGTAGAAACGTTGTACAATTGAACAGTTTATGTTCTTCATGACACACCACATAGGTTATCTTCTTCGTTACCTGTTGTCTATGATCTGTTCCTTTCCTTTCTGTTTCCAACATCTCCAATGTCTGGAATCTTCTTTGTAGGAATTCCTGTGTTGACTTATATGTCAGAATGTCTTGCCCTACTGTCTTGAATTGACGTTTGATATAATCTCCTGGTTTCTGTGTCCCACTTTAACATGCTTATCCTTGCTGTAAGAGGGCTCAAGGACTCCGTCATTATACCTAGTCCACTAATGGCTTCTAAGCATTCGTGGAGAGTATAATGTAATGTTTTCAGCATTCATTCATGTAATGAAGTATCTTGTCTATTAATATAAATAGATTCATCCTTGGATTATCGTACAGATCTTGCAACATTTTCCAAGCAGCACTGTAGTTTGCTTCTGTTGCGTTTAAATGTTGTATTATTCTACTTGCTTCTCCTCGGAGGCTTGTCTTCAGATACTGCATTTTTTCCACATTTGATAGTTGGTTATTCTCATGTATCAAACGTTTTAAAATATCATAGAATGTTACCCAGGATTCATACCTTCCACCAAAACAGGATAACTTCGCTTGGGGTAATTATTTCGTCTTTCTTACATCTTTCCGCCTCTAATCTCTTGTTCTCTTTTATGATCGACCGCACCCTTCTTTTCATTGTATAAAATCTTTCTATTTCACCTTCTTCTAGTGCATCCTGTTCATTGTTTACAGTTATTTCCATTATTAAAGAATCTATTTTTTGCACCTCTTCTTTTAAATCTTCTTGTATATCTTCATCGGTTTCGTCGTCTTCCAATAAATGATGAAATTTTCCCATCCTAATTTCTACTTCTCTAATTTTTGTCGTAGACTTGTAAGAATTTTTAATAAATTCTTACAAGGTTGAACATATGTATCTATATATCGGAATATATATATATATATATATATATATATATATGAATATATATATATATATATATATATATATATATATATATATATATATATTATATTATATAGCGGAACAGTGTTTCTATATAGTCCAAAACCTAAAATGCAACCATCAGATATATCAAATTTTATTAGTCAAAAACGAGGTTTCTCGAAAAATGTGGTGTTTGGTCAAGGGTAAAGTATCTTTATTTTTGACAATAACTAAAATTATTATAAAGAAAATATGTTTAGGATTATAAATTATTTTCAAATTTTTAACATTGTTTATTTACATTTTAAAATATCTTTTATTTAACATTTTCTCTGCGATAAAGTTGAAAATTAAGTATGCGCATTGAGGTAATATAGTTATTAATTATAAATTTAATAAAAAAATTATTAATTTAGTTATGTAAAAATCTACCGTTATCAAAACAATAGTACATTGTTTACCGGGTAGGAAAAGCTTAACATTCCGGACGACTGTGAAGATTGCTAAGTCGAGGCGCAAGCCGAGACTTAGCAACACAGAGTCCAGGAATGTGGCTTTTCCTACGAGGTAAACATACTATTTTTCCGCAAATCGTTTAAAATTCGACAGATATTGATTGATTTAAAAAAAAACGCGATAATTTTATTCCCAAATAAATGGTGCTTTGAAATTCCTAATACAATTACTTGGGTTACTATGGAAACGTATTGAGGTTGAATTGTCAAACTTGACGCTCATTTATGTGGAACACTAACAACTGTACGGAAATATCATTTCCTTACAGTAAGGAAATGACATTTCCTTACAGTAAGGAAGTCCTGACTTTTTCTTCAAGAAATTTTGACAGGAATGTCAAAATTTCCTGGCGATTTGCGGAAAATATATCTTAATATCTATTATATAACTACTGATAACTTTAAAATTGGTTAATCATGAGTTTCTAACGTTGTAAGCGATGCAATTAAATGTAAAATAAACTAATTTATTTTTCAATAAGTGCAAATAAATAATTATTATCTTTATTTCCTCTAACACGTCCACATATCGTCCATTTCTATTTATACATATAACAGTTCTATTAGAAGATTTTCTTAAGGCATTCCTGTCCATATAGGGAGTTATACTACGAAACGATTCAATATTTATTAAACTCATACAGAAGTAAAAAACTTCAAAATTTGTATATTGGTATAAAAACCTTTAATTAAAACTTGTTAAAAGTGTCATAAAAAAATTATAGATGCATAACGTTTTTGGTCTAGCTCAGATCATGCTCAGTGCCTTCTTTTGATACTTGTAGCTAACTAAAATCGCAGTGGAGACATCAATATATGGTTTACATACTTAAATTTAAATCATAATGCGATACTAGGTCGATGATTAAATTAAAAGTCTTACCTATACAACTACATTCAAATGCTGCGTGAAGAAGCGTTCTTGACTACGTCATGCGCGAAACGAACCGATTTTGTAACATTATGTATTATTTTTTGTGTTCTTTGTACCATGGGTAGCTACAGATGACGACCAGGTTTGGGTCGGTAACGTGTAATGACAGAGGGAGACGATCGATTCGTTGTCCTGAGTGCCTTGCATAATCGGTACACGACAGAAGTTGAGCTTTAACAATCCTTAAGGAATGTTAGGAGACGACTTAAGACTGCCACTTTGACTCCCAGACGAGCTAACACAGGTCCCAAATTAAACGCACGTCAAAAACAAGCTTGACTTCGGTTTGCCGAGAACACGTCAATTGGGAGCTTGAACAATCAAGCAGATTTTTATTCTCTGATGAGATTTGAATGTGCTTATATAATAATGACAAAATACGACGCGTCTACCCCAGACCTGGATAATGATTTTCCCAGTCCTGTAGTGTCGAAACAGTGACCTATGGAGGTAGTTCGTGTATGTATTTTGGTGGTATATCTTTAGAAAAAAAAAAACAGAGCTGGTGTTCGTGCCCGGTAGTGGTCGCAGAGGGGGTTTAACAGCCGGTCGTTAAGAGTGTAAATGATTCCTCATGAATCAGTTGTACCGCCTTATACTTAAATAGTATTGTTGCGAACATG